CAAAATCGACAATGAAATATCGTCAGAAACAAGTGAAGTACAAACTAAAAAATATCCCTCTAAATTTAAGGCAGGCATTTTCTGCTACAGCTCAAAACCGGTACCTAATCTGTTCCAATTGTTTCATGAACAATGTACATGATTGATTTAAAAAATTTTAAGCTCGATATCAATTTTTCTATCCTCGATAATGATCGAAACATCTAATAACTGGAAAATAAGTTTTTCTCTTGTTGGGTGCAGTGCTACTGACTACAGAATCAGACGACGCATCCTCTTTCTTACATTTCTCGTTGTTTGTTTGTTTGTTTTGTTTGTTCAAGTTCTTTGTTTACAACTGCTGAAACGTATTTCAATTTTCTTCTCTTCGGTAAATTCAATAGAAACAAGACACAAGCAAAAGGAGGCATAATAAATTCTTTATTGGAACTGTCGACGTTTCAGCGAAAACAATATTTGCTATCCTCAACAATCTTCCTTGTTTGACCTGAGAATGGCCAATGTTGTTTGGCTGAAATGTGGACAGTTCCAATGAAGAATTTATCTTCCGTCTATTCGGTTGTGTCTAGAACCATTAAACTGACTACTTATTTTCTGGTTCATTGTCTATGCATATTACTTCTTGTAAAAGCGGTAATAATCGTTTCATAGGTATCACACTGATCCCGGTTTTCCGCCGAACAAGTAAGCTCGATGATCACGAATTCCAACAGCAACAACGTAAGATCTTCTGCGTCACTCTGTCACCTGTCCAAGGTTAACCTTATAAATCTCTCATCTGCTATCCTGACTGGATGTCAAAATCATCACCGCTATGCTCTCGATCATAAAAAAAGCGCGGCTCAACATCGAAGGTGTCCTTCAAGGAAATGCCATTTCTGATACTTGTAACTGAGATGACATTCTTCCCATCAAAATCGAGTATTCGTGACCATGACTAATAGGATAGATGCACAACAGACAATATCGCAATACAGCTATGTTCGTTCTTCAACACCATGGACCAATTTAGCACTCGTAGTAATGTATTCACCCCTGTCTGATTCACATAATTTTCTCTCCTCGACATTGCTCTGCCATAACTGGTGAATGTTACCATGAGTAAACGGAATTATTGGCTCTAGTCGCACTCTAACAACCTGCATAACCAATGAACAGCGTTTCTCGAGAGTACAAAAACGTCGGTAATAATTTTCATTTCACTCTGCACAGCGAAACGATTAAGATATAACGGTGCATGTTACCATCGGAAGAAGCGATAATGAGGAAATCATCTACAAACAATAGATGACTTAGTCCACACTGTCAGGATCTACAATAACTGACCTCTGGGTAGAAATGAACTAAGTGAATCGCTTTGAACAACAGCTGATAACTTTGCACTGTTATGTTGTTATTTTTGTCATCTCTTTTCCATCGCCATACCATCACTGTTTGGATCCTGGCATCGGCGCATTTCTCGCGTTTTACCTCAACGCGGTTAAATCAAAGGAGATGACGTTCAATCGGCTTCTCTGTTTCGAAGCTGCCCATAGTATACCGCTAATGAAGTTGTTTAACAACATACTCCTCATTGCTAATATCGAATATCGATAAGGCAACGTTTGTTGTTTCCACGCAATTCAGCTGTTATCTACGCATGTTTTCTTACTGTCCGTGTTTCGGCTTTGAATAGTAACACTTACTTTATTATCGTAATATATCAGTGTGAAATTCGATGGAGGCTCCAGAGCAAAAAGGTTTGTTTTGGAAGTACACAAGCAAGACATACTTTGTAGCCAGTATATCAGTACAGAGATGTGGTCCTTTTTACAGTGTTCGTCGCCGTCAACAGGCGAATGAGTCTCCAGAATTTCACAGTTTCTTCCTGACGGTGCACAGACAAATCGTCAGTTCCGATAGTCGAAGTACTCTGGTGGAGTCGTCATCTGTAAGCGATGCTGGAACGCTGACTAGAGAACAGCCGGTGTACCCGCTGCTCTTACCAGCCTGAATATTCCAGAGATCATGCACGATGAGTACGTGGGCCGCCACATCTGTACATATTTTCCCCTGTAGCCCGGGGTATACTTTGCAGCAGAGTTCAGTCTCCCCCCTTTCGATTAACTTCATAACTGACTAAGGACTTTCTTGAGGTTCCGTATAATGAGGCAAAAATATCTGACAGATAGAGCTTCATGAAAAAAATTGAACTGCAATTTTATCAGTTTGTTTATGCTTTCATAGTTCTGTCTGTTGAAGCAACCGGTCATATATGAGGCTATTTTTAATGGACAAATATTCCATTTTAATGAGCTGCTCTTCTCGCCTCAACCTTCGCTGCAGCTCTTTCTCCGTATTAACTAAACAGCACTACGTCAGTTGCAGCAGAAGAGACTTTGGTCCACTTTACATCATCAAAGACAGAAACGGACTTAAAGCTAACACTTAATGATCTCTCTTTCAGACAAGGAATTCTTCTGCTTCGCCAACTGTATTTGCTACTTTCATTGTACATGATTCAATTAGCTCAATATGTCGCTTTAAAACCATTTTCTTTCTTAAATCCCCTTGCATTAAGCATCTTAGAATTTCATCACAGGCCTTTTTCAGGTCGGATCGAAGGAAGAACCATGCAGATGCAGCTGTGATGTTCATAATGTCAGTTGCAGTTTGGCAATTACGCCTACT